TCCTTATTTTCATATAAAGTTATAAATGAAACTTGGAACCTTATTAATTATTCTGGATACACTAGACCCATTTAAACTCAAGATACCATTATTTAGAATTAAAACAAAAGGCCAAAAAGATGGATTATGTGCATACAATAATAATCCTCTGTGTGTGTTATCTTTCCATAAATAGCTAAGTTTGACTAAGTGTTCATAGAAATACTTGTATGTATACAGAAATTTTATGTACTAAGGGTTGAGTCCAGGGAGCTCTGGTGGCCTAGTTGCAAGATGCTGTGCTGCAATCCCGAAGGCACACAGTTTGAGGCCACCAGCCACTCCACAGGAGAAGGATGGGCAATTTCCTCCCATGCAATTAACTGCCTCTGAAAACTCACCAGAGGATCAGCTATGGGTCGATTCTGACTCAACAGTACACAACGACAAGAAGAAGGGTTGAATCTATAGAAATGCACATATTAGGTAAGTTCTGGTAATGTCAGTTCTGGTTGATTCACACATAAGTCTTGATGTGTGTTTGGGTGTGTGTAGCAGAATCCTGCCCTAAAGGAGTAACATGCCCCTGGGATTGAATGAAAACAGAGTCTGGTAAAGGATCCATTGTTGAACAGTCTTGAACGGTACCTGAAAAGTGTAACTTCAGTATTCTCAAGGATCTCTTCTAAGACCACAGTGTTTATCAAGTCTGCAGGGGAAAGTTTTACATGTTTTAAAATTCTTTATTCATGAATTTAAAATAATTAAAGAAAAAAGTAAATTCTGGCAAACATAATACGTATACACGTAATTTCTAAGTGCAGAAAAGAGGTTCTTTATCAACTTAAGGTTGAGGTTTTCAATGTCTTACCCTTTAAACAAATAATATGCAGTTTATTTTTATTATACCTGTAACTTTCACACTCTGAAACCTATAGTTACCAATGAAAATCTGTAAACTTTTCCCTGGAATTTGATCTTCTTTTCTTCTGCTTAGATTTGTCACCAACCTTAATAATAGATGAATTCATAGACTACCACGGAAATAGCAAGGAATTAAAAAGAAAATATATTAGATTGCCACTCAAGTTTTGACAAAGCACTTAAATGTGTCCAAAGACATCAAGCTTGGATTATTTAACCTGTGAAAAAACTTAAGTCACTAGTCAAAAATGGTTATTATATTAATGATCAATCATTAAAATGATTAATGTTACCTTAGTGTGCACACTTTTCCCTATTTAAATTTAAGGTACACTGTCACTGTAGCATTTCAGTTGAGGCTGTTGACACAAAGAAGACAATTATTTCCATTTACATTTGGGGATGGGAGGAGAAAATTTCATTTTGTCTTCTTCCAAACAATATTCACTTCTTCTGTTGGGCTCTTTCATACCTAAACAATATGTTTGGCAGAATCATCTTTATAGTAGGTGCCATAAGAAGTCAAACACATAAGGATAGAATGAAGAAGCTTAAAAGTCAATATTTAAACTGAAAAAAGATCAATGATACTATGCTGAAAAGTAGGGAAGCATGGTGCCCAGAGCACATAATAGGTATCATTCAATATTTGAAGAATTAATTCATTTCTTAAATGACCAAAAGGAATGTGACCTCTAGCCATTATAAAGCCCAAATGTATAAGCTAAAACATTTGTAAACCACAAAATAAAAACAAGCATGCAGCCTTTCATTATTTGAAATGAACTTTTATTCGTTCAAAGTAAGTAGGCCTTTAAGTAAGTGTGCTATATTTTCAGGCAATGAAAATAAGAGCTAATCACTAAAAAGAAATTAGATGTTTCTGCTTCTTGAAAAACAAAAATACAGGTAAAGCGGCAAATTTCATTCAATATCCACGTGATCGAGCCAGAAGGCATCACAGGCAGTAGGAACTGCTCACCACTGACCCCCGAAATCCTCATAGAGAAGTTGAACAGCATCTCCTTTTCTAACCTGGAAGTCTTTAGAGAGGCTCTTTCTGTAGTCAGCTAGGGCTTTATATTCTCCAAGAGACTGTACTGTTATGGGGTCTGGGAGGTTTTTCTTATCAAAATTCTTTATTGAAAGTAAGTTTCTTTTTTTTCCACACTTCGAGTTTTTTATTCTACTTTCTCTCCCTATCATTTTTAAAACATTTTTATTAATGATTTTTAATGCAACTTGTATATTTTTATGCATATTCTTCCCATTTAATTTTTCCCTCATTCATTCATTGTTGCACCTTCTCCTCCCTGCCCACCCCTCCCCCCAGTTCACTTTTCTCTTTGAAGAAAGACAAATTCTTTCATTGTTACACAATACCCCCATGAGTCCACACTCTACTTTAATATGCATCTCTTTTACTGTGTTCTTGTCATGAAAATAATACCTAATCCTATGTTCCTTTTAAAGAGTTATCTCCCTTATCTGTTTCAATGCAGTATACATTATGTACAGTTGTGTTGAGAGATGATACTACCAACATCATTACAAAAGCAACTCTCATAGCCTCGTGCTTTGTGACACTAAAAAAAAAGTTCTACTTTAATGGTAAATATGGTAGCTATGGCAGCTTTACATACACAAAACAATGTGAAGTAGTGTCGGATGAAAGAAAAAACCAGAACATATATTTATTTCACCTATAGAATTAACTTTATTTTAAAACAGAATTACAGCAAGTGTATTAGAGCACAATTAAATTACATGATTTATAAGCATAATCCAGAAAAATAAAGCGTGAAAATATTAATTTGAAAAATACTGGGATTTTTTAAAAAACTACACTCATGAACAATTATTCTTGGCACAGACAGAAGGCAACGGCCCTGAGCAAAGATTTACTAAGATCGCCACAAAGATTTCTGTGCTTTGCATCACTGTACATGGGTTAAAATGATGGGCACAAAAGCTCTAGGTTCAAGAAAAGCATTTAAATCATAATTTTGTGCTTTGCTTGTTCTTACTAGTTTGCAGCTATAAATTTAACTTAAAGCATCAATAAGCAAAATAATCCAAGGCACACATTGCATTTGGTTACAAAGTAGATAGGGAAGAAATAGTTAATAGTTTTCAAATTCATCAAGACTCTGAAACAAGAATTTTTATCCAACTGAATTGTCTTGCATATTAAATCAGCAACAGTTAAAGAGTACCATGATTAAAATCCAAAAATAGCAATAAAAAAGAAAATCAAGAAACCAAGCACAAGTGATTCGTAGCAAGTCCAAGGGAATTAATTAAATCTTTGGAGTAATTAATGAATTAATTACTCTTTGGAGTACTAATAGCAGTGAAAAGCAATTTGTCATTGGACAGAGTGGCATCATCAATACAGGTGAGACATCTCTGACAAAGCTACAAAGGGAAGCCACATCCCCTGTTTCTCAATTGTTTGCTTTGTAAATTGAGGCCAAAAGGCAGGTCTTTCCAACTTCTTTTTTTTTTTTTTGGTATGGGATGCATTTTCTGCTCTTTTTTAAGTTTTTCTAGTAGCCCAGCTCAGGGGATTATTGGGAGAAGAGAAGAAAAACCTAATTCTTTTTTTTAAATAGCCCCATCACCTAGCACTAAAGCATTAGGCAATTTGGCATATTTACTTTCATTTTGTGAGATCATGGCTGGAAAAAATAATCTTACTTAAAGCTTAATGGCTTCTTTGCATTCTCTTAGTAGGTGATTAACAGCAAATGTTTAAGCCCCAGCTGGCTTCATCAAATTTTTTTCTCCCATCTAAACAACTAAACCCCAGCTGGCTTTGTCAAATTGTTTGCTCTCATCTGAACGAACTATCCTTGGACCTCCCAACTTCAGATAATAGTAATCCAGGAGATGCAAGTTCTTTTTGTTACTAGTTTAGACTAGCAGTTATCAAAGTGTGGGAGGCAGACTCTTGCCAAAGTCTTCAAAATCAAGCTTATGTTAAGACATCATTTGCTCTTCTGGCAAATGTGCCGTGGAATTTTCTAAAGGTATCATGACATATGATACTATGACAGGTCAAACGTGAAAGAAGATAGAAGAATTCATCTGGCTTCTACTACATCAGATGTTCAAGAGATTTGCAAAATAAATGTGAAATGTCATTCTCATTATTCATCTTTTTGTTTTGAAAAAAGTAGCTTTTTAATAAAAATGTTATTTGTAGAAATTTATAATGGGCTTCATAATATGATTTTGAAATAAAGAATACAATAATTTAATAAATCTCGGCTTTAGGGTTCTCAATGAAATATCTTACTGTGTTTTCAGTGAAAGTAAATTACATTCTTATTTAACAATTTCTGTATAAATTGGTTAAATGTGAGCGTTCTCAATAGTTTTTAAGAGTCTAAAGGATCCATAAGATTAAAAAAGTTCGAGAACTGCTGGTTTAGACAACTAACTCTGAGCAAATATTTTATCAGCTCTGAGCTTCAGTTTCCTCATCTGGAAATGGGCATAAAAGATTCTGCCCTTTCTCACATTAATACTGTGAGGATTAAATTTTAGATCATCTGGTAAACCATAAATTGCCACAGAAATGAGCATTATAAGAATGTGTTAGGAGGAGAAAGTTTATTTTGCTACATTTTCAAGAAAGTGTGCCAAAGTCCATGTTCTCCAAGCCATTACTCCCTTCCCCCAGCTCCAGCCCTGTGATGTTCTTTTTAGGGACCCTAAAGTTTAAGTATGACAGCAATTGTGAGGATGGCACAGTGTTGGACATTGATTTGTTTGTTGTCTGTAGGGTCATTGTGAGTCATACTTAAACTCACTGTGCAGCCCAGTGGCTTCAAGCACTAATATCAGAATTGCCAAATTGAATCCGCTTTTTTGGAGGAAACCTGGGAGTAAAGGATTAGAAAGGACCCTTTCCGTTTTCTAAACTGATGGCTTTATTGGAGATTTATCTATACTCTGGTATCTCATTGGAATTACAGTTCTTAAAAATGAAACAAAACATTCATTATTCTTCTGAAAAGTAATCTTTTACAAGGTATGTCCTTGTTCTAATATTCTGATATGTAGGATCAAAAGTACATTTTTTTGAGAACTTAGTGAAACTTATGCCCCCGGATGTTGTGATATAGTTTTTTAAACACAGAATGTTTCCTTCCTATGGTTCCTAATTTGGAACCTAAACTGATTTTTTTACGTATACTTGCAGCTTCTTTGTTCTCGGAGTTTCTCTCACATGCCTAAATAGAGAAAATAGTGGTAAAACTCAGTGCAAGATAAAACTTGTCAATTCAGAGAGACTTGGAAAGATTCAGCACTTATCCCATCAACTTCAGAAAGGGACTTCATAGATAATGCAAACAAGTTCTACTTAAAAAGAGATGTCCTTATGAAATGTTCATAATCAAAATTGTTTCAAATTCTTTGCCCATGAAATATATCTGATGATCTCAAGGATACAGAGATGTTTGCTATTTTAGCAGTAAAACTGAAAATGGTCCCACTTTCAGCAGTAAAACTCTCTCAAGTGTTTTAATTATACTGTGTCATTACTAACCATTCCGGGCCTATCTTCTACTTCATGCTCTGCCAAAGAAGAAAATAAAAGTTCTCTTGACCCTTCTTTGGGTTCTTCAGAGGTTTCTGAAGAGAGGGATATCTCGGTCCAAACTGTAGAAAAAGAAAGGGAGGGTTAAAGTTACTGAATAGTCTTGGTTCGACACAAGGAGAGAAGTCAATCAAAATGGAACAATCAAGGCTGTAAGCTCCAATGGACCAAGAAAAGAATCTTTCTATACAGAGGCACAAAACAGAGAGATAGTAGATTCAGTCTCAGACCACCAAACAAAACCAATATGACAATGAAGTAAGTCACATTAACATTCTGGTATCCTAGTGCTGGTAAAAGGTATGTTTACACTATGTTGCAGTCTCTTAAGTGTGCAATAGCATCACAATCTTTGAATATTGTGAGAATTAAAAAAAAGTGACAGAGACAAAATGGATGGATATATTGTTGGATGCATTGTACAAAGTGGCCAAGAAACGTTCAGTTTGTAAAAAAAAAAAAATCTGAAAATCTGTGAAGCACAATGAAACAAGGTAAGCCTGTAGAGTGAACAAAATTGTACTGTTTTAAAATTTCTGATAGTTTAGAAGGGATCTTGAATATGTTTCACATCATTTCTTTTTACAGTTAAATGTTGTGTTGGTGGTGCACAACCAAGAGAGGATAACATTGATGAACTGGACTTTCTAAACATTCAGTGTCTGTGTGCATCAAAACCTTTTTCCAGTTCTAATTTCCTTGGGGTATATTAGTAGTGGAATAAGTGGGTCATATGTAATGTCCATGTTCAGCTTTCTGAGGAAACATCAAACTGCATTCCAGAATAGTTGTACCATTTTACAATCCCGCTAACAGTGCATGAGAGTTCCCATCTCTCCACATCCTGTCCAACATTTATTGCTTGCTGCCCTGCTAAACTTTGCCAATGTTACTGTACTGGGGTGAGATGGTATCTCACTATGGTTTTTGTTCGCATGTATGTTATTGCCAGTGGTTATGAAGATCCATACACCAATGTCCATAGCAACATTATTCACCATTGCAAGATCATGAGAACAGCCCAAATGTCCAACTACAACTGAATTGGCTGGAAAAATTGTGGTATATTAACACAATGAAATACTATGCAGCACTCAGGAGCAACAGTTTTGAAAAATAATACTTACCTTGAGAGATACTGGCAAGCATTAAGCTGAGTGAACTAGCTCAGTCTCATAAGGACAAATACTGCATTCTAAAAAAGTTGCAAATAGAGATACCATTTGACCCAGCAATTCCACTACTGGGAATATACCCTGAAGAGACCATAGCTGACATCCAAGCAGTTATATGCACACCCATGTTTATTGCAGCTTTGTTCACAATAGCAAGGAGTTGGAAACAACCTAAGTGCCCATCAACAAACGAATGGCTAGAGAAGCTGTGGTATATTCGCACAATGGAATACTATGCTACATTAAAAAACAAGGAACTCATGCAATATTATTCAAAATGGTTGACTCTGGAGAACATTATGCTGAGTGAAATATCCCAGTCACAAAAGGACAAATATTACATGATGCCACTGTTGTAGAATGGGACTGTCCTTGGGGTTGGGGAGAGACTGAGTAAGATGGGTTCAATAATGTATACTGCACTGAAACAGAGGAGGGAGAAAACTGTTTAAAAGAGATATATAACTAGGTATTTCTGTCATCACAGGAGACTAGAGCGAGGGCTACATGGTGGAGGGGACCTGGGGGAGGGTTTGTAAAAGAATGAAAGAATCTTTTCTTTTACTTTTCCATAATTTCTGGACTCATGTACTTATAACTTGTTAGTCAAATTTGTGTCTTCTAGGTTGCAACACCCCCATGATACATCTTCAAGGATATGAACATGTACGGCCAAGCGCAATCAATAAGAGTGCATCTAAATTCCAAAATCAATCTCCATAATAGTCTATGTGTTTCCTACTGCCAAAGGGGCCCTTTAGAGTAGTGAGAAAAGACCTTCACCCTGAAACCCACAGCGTCCCTTTTCAGCAGGAAGTAGCTAAGAGAATACGCCATCCCCTTTTCCTTATGACTCAGGGTGAAGTCTCTCTCAGGGAGGAGTGATAGGGAATGGCAAAGGACACACTGACAAAGGAGATTAATCAGAACTGGCTTTGACAAGCACTGTGGCATTTGGACAAGAACAAACTGGGAGGAGGGTAGAGAGAATAGTGCAACAAGGAATGAATGGAAACCCAAAATCTCTGTAAATGTTTATGAAAATTAATAAAATATAATTATAGAAAAAAAATTTTAAAAAAATAAATATCCAGTTCAGATAAAAAAAAATCATTATTGTAAAAATAAAAGGATCACTACTAAAACATGTATGTATGCAAGGAAGGGAGGGGTGGAAGTAGGGGAATGAGGATGGGTAGGGGCAAAACCAGAGGGGTACACACTTTGGTGGGTGGAGGGAGGGGGTGAAAGAAATGGGAAGGATCCGGCAGGGACCTTAAAAGATTAGGTAATGACGGGAAAGGTCCAATGCACAATCTGAATGAAGAATAATGTGAAACACAATATATACAAACTTTGTGAGCAAACCATATAAATTTTTTTAAGAAAAGAAGAAGTATGAAACAACAACAAACAACTATTAGTAAAGAATGAATAGAAGTATCCATATTTTCTCTAGATTTTATCTAGGGAAAATATTAGAGAATACCACACTGAATCAACTTTAATGACACTGGAAAACAGAAACAAATCTTTAAGTAGTTTTGTCTGCTTCATAAATTGTGCTTGTTGCATACACAAATTAATAAAACAGTCATAATCATAAAAAACCAACCCTAAACTTTTTCCAATATGTGAAAAGAAAATTTACAAACTGGGAAAAAACATTGGGCAATGACATCCCACACAAGGGTCTACTATGAAAATTCTCAACATACTACAAGGAAAAGTACCACAAGGAAAAGACAGATAACCCAATCACAAAATGGGCAGAAGGTATGGAAAGACTTCGCACAAAGACTTTCAGATAGCCAACATGATAGACACATGAAGAAATGCTCAAAATCATTGACAATAAGAGCAATGCAAAACAATATACCGAGATACCATCTCACTCCAGTAGCAGTAGCAAAGTTTAACAGGACAGAAAGCAATACATTTGGGAAAGAATGTGGAGAAATTGAAACTCTCATACATTGTTGGTAGGATTGTAAAATGGTACAACTACTCTAGAAGGCAGTTTGGTGTTTCTTCAGAAAGCTGAATATAGAATATATAAATATATAAATAGTTGCTGTTGTTATGTGCTTTCGAGTCACATAAAAATAAAATTAAAAAATTAACAATATATACATAAATTAAATACAGGTATTCCACTGCTTGGATCCTATTTTCCCCAAGGAAAATAGAACTGAGACATAAATGGATATTTATACACTAATGTTCGTAGCAGCGTTATTCACAATAGCAAGAGCATGGAAACAACCCAAATGTCAAACCAAAACTGAATGGATTGGTTCATTCACACAAAGTAATACTATGCAACATATAGGATCTATGATTTTTATCACAAGAGTCCAGAATTAAGGTTGCATAGTTGAGTGTACTCATGGTAGGTAGGGGTGTGGGGTGTGGGGGGACTGTATACCAATGAAAGAATTTTTCTTTTACTTTTCAAAGAGAGGAGTGAACTGGGGGAGAGGGGTGGGCAGGGAGAAAAGTGCAACAATGAATGAATGGAAATCCAAAATCTCTGTAAATGTTCATTCAAATTAATAAAATTTTTAAAATATTATATAAGATATTGGAGAGTTGGACAGTGAATAGGGATGATAGAAAGAGAATTGATGCCTTTGAGTTGTGGTGCTGGGCAAGAGTGTTGAATATACCATGGACTGCTAGGAGAACAAACAGGTTTGTCCTGGTGAGGGTGAAGCCAGAATGTTCCCTGGAGTCAAGGATTCTGAAGGTCCGTCTGACATACTTTGGGCATGTTGCAAGGAGGGACTGGTCCTTGGAGAGGGACATCATGTTTGGGAGAGTGGACGGGCGGCGCAGGAGAGGAAGACCCTCGATGAGATGGATCGATTCTGTGAGTGGAGTGGTGGGAATGAATGTGTTGAGACAGCGAGGTTGGCCTAGGATAGAACAGCGTTTAGGGTTCTTGTACATAGAGTTGCTATAAGTTGCAAATGACTTGGTGGCACATAACAACAACAACAACAACAACACTTACTTATATAACATGGGAAAGGCTAAACTGTCACTATATGTAGATATTATCATGTACACAGAAACCCCAAGGAATTAAAAACAACAACAACAACAACAAAACCTGTCAGAGCTAGTAGAACAATTTAGTAGAGTGGCAGGATACAAGATCAATATACAAAAATCAGTGGGATAACTCCACAGTAACAAAATAAAACCCCACAAAACAAAATCACAAAGAACACTAAGAAAGCAATATCATTTATAATAGCCAACAACAAACTGAGATACTTAAGAATAAACCTAACTAGGGACACAAAAGAAAACTACAAATACTTCAGCAAGAAATAAAAAAGGCATATATATATAAATGTGTGTGTGTGTGTGTGTGTGTGTGTGTGT